TCTCAGGCGCCTACGAAGGCCTGTTTTCCATCAGTGACGTGATGAGCCGAAAGCCGCTCCGGGATTTGGAAGGAGCCCAGGGACGCCTCTCCCTGCCCCGCCACACACCCACCGCGCCCCGGCACCGCTCCGGCATCACGAACAAGGGCGGCACCGACCACCGGCACCCCCTGCGCCGGGGCGGCCACCGCGACACCCGAGGGCGAAGGGGGGTGACCGAGGTGGTCAGAGACGCAGGGAAGCTCTGCAACCCACCCACCCAAAACCGCACAAACCCACGGCCAAACGCCTTACGCTACCCCCCCTCCCCGCCGCGCCGCCCCCCCGAGCGCGTCGCCATTTCGTGAGGCAGGAGCGTTCCGAGCTGCCCGCTGCGGGGACCAGGGGGAAGCTCCGGGCTGGGGATCGAGAGGTGAAGCCCCGGCCCCACGGGGCAACAGCCCACGGCGACGCCCGGCCCAGTCTGGCCCAGCCTAGCCCAGGCCCCGGCCCCGGCCCCGGCGCCACTCACAATTTCGGATATCGGAGATGAAGACCGCCAGGCCTCGCATGCCATCGCCCTTCGACACCGCAGGCATGGTGGCGCTGGATCACGGCCGCCCTGGGACGCGACACGCCGAAACCCCACAGCCGCCGCCCGCTCTCCCCGCGGGCTCCTCAGGCCGCTCCGCCGCCGCCGCCGCCTCCGCAGCGCGCAGGCGCCGCCGAGGCTCCCGCGCCCCCGCAGCCGCCGGGCGGGCGGCGCTCGGGCGCCCCCTGCCGCGCGGAGGCGGGAACGCCGCGGGCCGCGCCGGGCCCCGCTGCCTCCCTGCGCTGCAGCCCCGCCGGGCGCGGCCCCGCCCGGCCCCCGGGATGGCCCCGGGGTGTCCTGCGGCTCCCGGCCATCCCCCGTGCAACCCTGCGGGCCCTGGAGCTCGGCGGTGTCGCTGCTGGGACGCGATTACCAAGTCACCGCACACCGGGGCAAATGGGCCCGGGTCGAGGCGAGGGGCGGCAGGACGGCGTCAGCCGCTAGGTCCGTGTGGGAACCCACTGCGTGCTCCGGGCTCGGGAACAGCCTGACCCCTTCCGCTCCCCGTGCCCCTAACGGTCGACAAGTTTGGTCATTTTTGAAGGTGAAATATCGAGCTTTACAGTTGCCTCAGAGGATGTAAGAGCTGAGGGGAAGGAGAGGGACGGCAGATCAGGAGAGAGGAAAATTTCGCTAAGCTTTGAGCGGGCTGTTAATCTGCGATCTTATTGCAAAAATATGGAGAGCAAGGTACAAACTCTGAATGGTGCCATCCGTAAGAACATGCTTTCCATAAGGTGGACCCTGGGAGGCCATGCCTTGGTCCTGCTGCTCCATAGGGACCCCAAAACTGTACATGGGATCTGTTTCATGTACCCGGCATGGTCTCTCTGAACACTTGACCAGCCCAGGAGCTACTCTGTGCAGCTCCATCCTTAGTCACATAGCCCTTGTGAGCCTGCCATCAACAGCATGAGTGGTGTGGCTGCTCTGTGTTACACAGCAATGTACACCCGCTGGCTCCCTGGGCCCACAGACTGCAAACCCAGGGCCACGTGTTTCTCCTGAAGGCTGCGAACATGCAGAGCAACACAGTCCCACGCTACATCTACTCCTGAGACTGAAAACATTTCAAGGTTAAACTGTCTTAAACATGCCGAAGAGGTAGGACTGCGCAGAGCATTTAATCACGTCAGCCAAAAATAGATTCAAATCGTGTCAAAACTGGCCTAGTCTGCCTACCCAAAAGTATGGTGGGAGCTTCAGCTGTAACACAAGTGATTAGTATGCTTAGTGGAAAATAATGGGGTTTAGGACTACTGGAGACCTAGCAGTCATTTCACCTCTTTTCCAGTGTACTTCAAACCATTTCATTTCACCTGTTCTCCCCCCCCCAATTGAACCCAATATCTAGCTTTTAGCTACAGTCTATCTTCCAGAAAGGCACTTAGTCTTGCTGGCACAATCAAACTCACTGTTTCCCTGGATAGTTTGTTTCCATGGTTAATCCTTGTTTAAGAGCTTGCATCTTGTTTAGATTCATCAAGCTCCAGTGCCTTTAAGTTAGTGACACGTTTTTCTGTCATAGAGAAAGAACTACATAATACCCGATACCCTCTCTGGTAGTGGCTGTACACCTCAGTTAGGTCACCTCGCAAGTGTCTGTTCTGCATGTTTTCAGGATACCTTGTTACATGAGCGTTTTTTAGATGTGTGTCTATTAGAAAGACAAGATGACAAGCATGTGGTAGATATCCCTTTGTCCCTGGATCCATTTAGTAGACCAAGTGCAAGTACAGGCAATCATGCACAACTAGTCTATTATTCTCTACAGATTCTCTGTAGGCTTACATGAAGAAAGCTTTCCTTTTTTACAGCTTTACAAGTAGATTTTTATGCTTATATATAATTTCCATATACCTTTAAACATCAAAACCTCATATGTCACTATATGAAGTTTTTTCTGTAATCAGAAAAAAAAAATCTTTTTTGAGGTATCCAAAATGTTGAACTAACTTCTACTCTTAAGAGCACAGTGACACCTAAAGGCTAGCCTATTGGTCCTGTCTGGCTGTGTTCCAATCAATACTGCAACTGCAAGTCATGCAGGTAAATACACTTTAACTGCCTTCTCAGTGGTGGCTTAAATACTGACAGTGAATAGCTGTGGCAGTACCAAGCTAAGTATGCACTGCAAATGATTCTTGAGAACGGGGCAAATAGTCAAGTGGTTAACACATATGGATATCTCTAATTTTGTAACTATACAGCTAAATGTTTCGTTTGAAGGAGCTCAGTGTGCAGTACACATACCCTGATTATTTTATATCAATATCCTTTGACTGACTTTTGAGGGTTCACTATATTCATCCTTGCTCCCCGTCTTTTTGCCTCAACAATGGCTTATGCAATTAGGACAAATGTGTAGCCATATGTCTGCCCTTATTGTGTCAGAACTGAGAACTTATTAGTCTATTTCAGATAGTTTTGGTAGGGACAAGATGCAAGTTTTATGTGAATAAGTAGATAGCTAGAGGCAAGAGAGCCTGTAATGGTCTCTAGATGCCTCCTGATTGAAAGAAACATTGTAATGTGAGCTCAGCTGTTACCCAGCTCAGAGTTCACACTAGGAACAGCCTTCTGCAAACACATCGAGTTTGTTATTCTGAAAAACATTTTGGTTTGAGTCTAACATGTATAAAACACCAGTCTGTGTAAAAACAGATGTTTCACCCATCTGACAATGCTGTAATTTTTAAAGAGATTTCTAATTACTGTAAAATCAGCATTAAAGAGGAAATAGTGTTAAGAAACATTTTCCTATTACACAAAATGTTTTGTATCACATCTGTATGCCAGCAAATCCACAATGTCTGTCCCTTCTTTTCCATTTCACATGGAAGTTGCTTTATTAACTTTTCAGAATTTCACTGCACTTTGGTACAAAGACTTGAATAATGCACTGACCTTCATAAAACTATTACTACTCAACTGAATGTATCCAGTTGTGGGAACTACAAAAAAGGAATTGTTCCTTTTCCTTTGTTACTTCTGTCAGATTTGTACCATCAGTTATTGTTTTCTTCTGCTCCTCATGATCATTCCAGCCAATACTGGCAGCAAAAAGAACTAAGTAGAAAACAGAATCGGTGGCTCCTCCATGTGTACACTCAGTCCCGTTTCTGCACTTGACATCTAACATTCATTATCCATTAACAGAGAGCACAATGCCTTCTGCCATGCCAGAGTATCAGATGTGCTGCTTTCAACATTAAAATCCACAAAGTTAGGATAATACCATTATCATGAAACTCAAAATTTCCAGAAATTTTGGATGGATCTGGTTCACTGGCTAGACTTTTGTTCAGAGGAATAATATTTTTTTTTTCAGTGCTAAAGAATGTCCATGAAGATCTTCGTTACACAGGAAGGAACAAAAGAAGAGGGCATAGCAGCAGACTAAGGTAACCTTTCAGTTCAGCTTCTAGGAGGTCTCATCAAGAAAGAAAGCAGGCCACAGGAAGGTCTCTTTTGGGAAGCACACTGCCAGGATATGCTGGGCATGACTGCATCATGACATAACACATCCTTTTATTATAAAGTCTTTTGATATGGTATTTAGTTCCTGCAAGCAGCCTGTGAAATAACAGGGTTACAACAAAACTTGGGCTGCAGTAAAAATAGCAGTAGCACAACCATATTGCATGCAAAAACACAAACTGTAGAAGGTCAAAACAGGAGAAAATAAAAATCTCAATTTAAAACATAATCTTTTATTTTTGAACCTGTTAAGAGCCATCTGGGATTTGGCTCCTCCTCTCTGCACACCAAGAGTTAGCAGTATTGCTTGCAGACTCTCTACAGCCTTGTCTATACCATTATTTTGCCTCCAGGCCAGTGTGTGTATTTTAGCCAAGCTCCCGATTTACCTACACTATTTCACAGATTCACAGAAACAATTAGGTTGGAAAAGACCTCTGAGATCATCGAGTCCAACCTATGGCCTAACACTACGATGTCAATTTGACCATGGCATTAAGTGTCACAGCCAGTCTTTCCTTGAACACCTCCAGGAACAGTGACTCTACCAGCTCCCTGGGCAGCCCATTCCAATATCTAATCATCCTTTCTGTGAAGAGATTCCTCCTAATGTCCAGTTTCAATCCGGTGCAGCTTGAGGCTGTGTCCTCTTGTCCTGTCACTTGGTTGCCTGGGAGAAGAGGCTGCCCCCCGCCCGGCTACAGCCTCCTGTCAGGTAGTTGTAGAGAGAGATAAGGTCGCCTCAGCCTCCTCTTCTCCAGGCTAAACGTGGAGCTGTAGCTATTTACTGCAGCTTGGGCTAAACCAGGAGGCTCTTCACGGGAATTCACTGTTAGATCGTGACTCGCATTTGCTTTCTTGGGGTACTGATGACCCCCAAAGCGACCGCACCCCTGCACGAGACGGGACAGCCCAGCAGGCCGCTCTGCCCCAGGGGCTCGGCCGGGATATGGCGTCGCTCCCGCGGCTCCCGGCCCTCCCGGAGCGCCAGCCTGGAGCCACAGTCGGCGCCGCTCGCTCAGCCCGCCCCGCCATGTTGGCGCGGCCCCGAGCCGGCGGGGCGGTGCCGCCCGGCAGCACTTCCGCGGCGGCGGCGGGCGGTACGTGGTGTCCGCGGGCCGGGCGGGCAGGGCCGGGCGGCGCGGCCGTGCTCCGGCGGCGTGGGGGCCCTCGGCGTTGCCGCAGCCGGCTGCGGGGAGACACGGCACCGGGGGCGGCCAGCGCAGCCCCACCGGGTCTGAGCTCGGGGGAGGCCGCGGCGGGGCCGGCGCTGCCATAGCGGGCGTGCAGCTGCCGGGGGAGCTTTGGTGTCTCAAGATTCAGACGAGTGGGGGAGACAAATCTGACCGTCAAAGTAGAGCTGTCTTACAAGAGGAAAGGGTTTAATGTTTACACAGGTTAGAAACGGATTTATCTTCGCTCTTCACTCCCCGCTATAGCTTTTATTAATTTCATTTAAAAACGCATCATCAGCGTGCCTCCTGGTCTTTCCTTACTAAGTGATGCAGGCTCCTTCTGCAGCTGTAATAAGAATCTAATACAGTACAGTGCTAGTCTCCAAGATTATTTAGTTTCTTTGGTTGCTTATTTTGGACAGCCTAAATCTATGACAGCTTTTCTCCCTTTAAAAAATAAAGATGCATTTAAAATAGCTGACTAAAAGTATATTATCTCAGATGGAGACTGGGGTTAAACGACATTTGTGACCTGGCTAAAAGAGAAACCTGAGCTTCAGATCAGTTTGTCAAAAGATGTTTTAAACTTTAAATTGTCGACAGTACCAGTTGAACAAGGACACAGATAGTCTTCAATTCTGGTTGCATTTTGCAATGATAAAGGAGATAAACAAGAATGCCAAGCAAATACAGTTTTACTGAGATTAGTTAGTTCAAGAAGAGTTTAAAAATGGTGGTGAATTTGCAGAAGAAAAACTTGATGAGGATTTAGTTTTGTAAAGCTTGCAAAATTCATGCTTATGGTTTCCATAAAGCACATTTGACTAATTCATCTTCATGTATTAGAGTGATGCCATCTACTTAAATTTCACTAAACAGATGTTGTTAAAGAACAAATTATTAGAATAAGTTTCCAACCAAGAGTCAGAAACCGTTTTGCGACAGACTCAGTGCCTTCTATAAATTTGGAGTGGATGTTGTGTTGACAATAGTTGGCAGATGGATACGATCATGTCAAGGAAATGAGCACATTTTGATGTCTAATTGGAGTTCAGTAATGGTTTTTTAAACTTCAGCTCTTCAGCTGTTAGACGTTATCTTCTTTTCAGGGAAGCGGATGCAGTTGCTAATTGTTTTTGAAAGTGAAAGCAGACACCTCCAAATCAATATATACGAGCTTCTGGAAGAATTGATATCCTGTCCAAATAGCTAAGACTCGTATTGACTATTCAGGATCTCAGTTGTTCTTCCCTGAAGTAGTTTACAGGTCTTGCCAAGCCAGGTGGAACAGAGGAGATGATATCAAGAGCAATCTGGTTTTCTGATTTTTTAGGATATGGAAAACAAGGAGGTTACCAGTGACCTTGAAGTCAAAGTAGAGGCATAACACCTTAATTATTAATAATAGTGAATTTCAAACTGTATAGCAATTTAGCTCTTACCCTGCCCTCTGGATCTAAGAAATATTAGGAGGCTTTCTGCTTTTATTTTACAGTCTTTACAAGATTTGATTAAAGCCTTCAAATAATTTTGTACAGGAGGTTTTTGATACTTTGTGTTCTTTGGTGATAGTGACATTGGGTTTTTTTAAGCACTTTTGCTGCCATCATTCTTCTGCTTTGTTCCCTACTCATGTATTCCTCGCTTTTTCGGCAGAATCTCTAACTCCTACAATAAATACCTCTACTTTTTAAAACCTCACTGTTAAGCCAGAGACATCCAAATGCGAGTAAGTTTATTGGGTTGTTGATCTGATCTCTACATTATCCCTGCTATTTCATTTGCACTGAACCTTTAAGGTTCCTTCTACCACAGTAGTCTTTTAGAATGTTCAATCTGCTGTTATGGGATTCCTCACCTGATGTTTTGTACAGAAACAAAATACTCAAACTTTGAGCAGCACTTCTTATCAGTGTGAACAGGACAAGTATTGTAAATATGACTTGTAGAAATGGGCTTGTAAGTCTTTAAAGTGAGTGGTAGAGTAACAGAGGAAGCAAGATAATTTTTTAAGTGTAACAAAACCTCAGAAAATTGTGAAAAACATAACCTTTTTTCTTGTCCATCAGGATCTCATAATTACGAGAAGCAACCAGAATATCTAGAGCCACTAGCTTATTATACACGAAAGTATATAGTCCCAGTTTGATACTTCCACAATTAGTAACAGATTGCTTTTCATTCTGTTATTTTACTTCTTTTGCCCTGTTTTCTCTAATGCTTAGTATTTTTTCTCTGTTTTCTTCTCATTCACTGCTGGGAATTAGGCTGGAAAACCAGTGCTACGTATGAGTGGGGAGAGGTTGAAAAACAAGCTCTGGCTGTATTTGTTTATTTTATATTTTTGGAAAGTCTTTCCTCTTAGAGAAATAAGGTGTGATAGATAAATAGCACAGAACAGAACTGTTCTCTACTAATTCTCAATTCCTGTTCACAGAGATTTGAACCCTTATGTTTTCAGGGAAAGAGAAACTTGACATGAGGAAAAACACCATGAGGCTTCTCTGTACTTCACTTTCTCTTACCCTGATTTGCTGGCTATCTGAAGGTACCTTGTCAAAAACAGATGCAAAGAAAGGCGCTACAAAAAAACTGGAAGAAAAGGTAAGAGAAACAACAGAAATGCTTGTCTTATCTAACATGCACAGTGAACTAATTGAACTTTGGTAAATGGACTCTACTTCTGTGAGAACAGTGTTAATGCATTTCCGTTGAAGCTTATGCTCACAAATAAGACTCTTTGAAACTGTCCTCTTCTTCAGCTTTTTTAAATGTCACAAATGGTTCACTCCTTAAACCAATATGATGTAGACTTCTGGAGCTCTATCCTCCATGAAAACTGCAGAAGCAGGAAGTTTTTGCCCCCTCAGGAAACATACTTCCATCCCTTTGGAAGGTGGGGTGGGGAACAGTAATTTGGGCCAAGAGCACTAGATCATTTACTGGTGGAATGGAGCCTTGCCAGTGGGAAGGCTGTATCCCGTTAGAAGAGTTTGAAGAACCTTCTAAGCAGCAACTCCTTTGCAGGCAGAAATTATTCAGAATCTCCCAGTAATCAGTGCAAGCAGAGTCAACATGCTGAAGTCTCTCTTCAGTTGCTGAGCATGTTATTGTCTCCTATCATTATGGATATACATCTCTCATTGTTTGTGTTACTTGCTTCCTCAACACCTACCATGAGGAAAATCTAGTCTGCAGTAGTGAGGATAATACAAAGAGTTAAGACAGGTCATATCTCTAAATTCCTTATGCTGAATCAATGGGCAGTTATTGTGTACTCACCATGCACACCTTGTTAGGTGTTCCCACTCTTTTTATCTGCTAAAACTATTTGTGCTGGTTTAGTTGAAGCATCTTCCCTAAGGAAAAGTGTTTAAAACCTTGACCTTCAGTAACTACAACGCAGCATTCTCAGACTAAAACATAACAAGTTTAAAAGTTGTCTTCAAATTCTTGGTTAAGAAGTCTTAACCTTTTTTTATTTTTTTAGGGGTAACATGGCAGAAAGCATCGGCCAAGGAGTAGAACACCATTGGCTGTCATGAATGATGTTCTTTAATCTTATCATGTCTTGGTTTTTTTTTTTGTGTTTATATGCTTCTTGCCTTCCAAACAAACTAAGTTTACTGAGGATGACAAATCATTTCTGAGGACTTGAACGTTTCAGTTTTAAATCAAACTGCTCTGCATCCTTTTAAATGGAGTGCTCAGAGTTTAATGAAGTGATTTGTTATTTTGTTGTGTTTAAAGTATGTTGCCATTGAAAGTGGTTATTTCATGTAACTGATAATTGTCTTCTCTTCACAGATGCTGCATTCTGATAAAAATGTACAGGACCGGGGACTGGTAGTTGTGGATCCAAAAGCAAAGGATATAATACGGGAACATAAAAGTTATTGCTCCAAGAAGATGAAGGAAAGACATTTCTCAGGAGATGTTCTGGGATATATTACTCCTGTAAGTTGATACAACAAATAAAATTCATGCTTTGAATGGGTATGCAGCAGATTGTGTTATCCTGCAAGCTTGCATCCCTGCTTTAGAAGCATTTCTATAATAATGAGAACTGCTGGTCAAACACAGTCAAATAGCCAGAGGATTATTTGAGAGCTGGCTTGGGGTTCCAGTGGTCTCAAACCCTTGTTCTCTCATCTGTCTCTTGGAGGATGTCTAGGTCATGTTTTTCTTCTCACTGTTGTTGAGGAATACACTCAGTGCTGATAGCTGGGTGTGCAGCTGCAGTGTGAGCTGCAGGTTGTGCCCTGGGTGGGAGGAAATGGTGGCAGCTCGTGCTGACCCTTTGCATCACGAAGAGCACAGGGACTTGTGGCACCCAGGTGACCAGGCACTCAAATGCAGCAGGAGTTGATGACTCAGCAGGAAGACCCCAAACTGTCATGGGCATAGACTGTGGGAGTACAAAATCCTAGGGATTCCTTTTTTGGGGGTCCTGTCATAATTAAATTGCTTTAAGGATCCAGACATCTGAGTCTCTGCTGTGGGAAGCTCAGGGCTGAGCTGGTAGGAAAACTGGTCTGACTGTGAGTGTGGGATGTGCAGGGAGACAAGATGGGCAGCTGTCAGTCACTGGAACTGCCTGATGTGAAGGGGCCTCAGTCCCAGGAGTGAAAGTCTGGGGTGGTGGGAGTGTGACTCCTAGAGTGACTCCTGAGTGGTCAGACAGCAAAGTTTCCTTAAGACTGGTTGTAACAATGATGATAGTATTCTCTTGCTGATGAACCAGGTGAAGTTGTAGTGAAGTCAGAACAAGAGGACTACTAAGTGTCCTCACTCTGCAGCTGTCATCTTGAATCTTCTAAATCAACAACTAACAATTATATGCTGCTATGGAACTGATCTCCTTTGCTATCCTGTCTTACTATTATTCAAAACATTCTTTCTTGAATAATAAATGTTTCATCCTTTTGTTTAGAAGGATGATTTTCACCTGTTTCAGTCTTACACTACTCAAAAGAGAAATAGATGCCCTATAAATTTTCAACTTTCTCAAGTTCTCTTGAACATAAGTATAGAGTCTGTAAATTCAAAACTGTGTTGGAGCCTACATTCAAGTTTCTGTAGTTAAGAATTAGCACCATTTGCACAATTTGTCTTTCATGTAGCTACCAGAGTTTCCAGAGTACTTCCTTATTTAAGGAAAAATAATATCCCAGAAGGTTTCTTCAAATGAACAAATAGGGATCTAGCAGATGATTACATTTGTGTGAAAGAGTTTAATATTGGTCAAAAGTTAAGTGTATATCTTGCTTCTGAGTCTCTTACTTTTTTTTTTCTCACTTGTTTTTCAAGTGGAACAACCATGGCTATGACATTGCTAAAATATTTGGGAACAAATTTACACTAATCTCACCAGTTTGGTTACAAGTGAAAAGGAAAGGGAAGGAAATGTTCCAGTTCACCGGGCTCCATGATGCTGATAAAGGTATTATTTTCTTTTCCTTTGAATATGAATTGCAGTATTGTTGCAGACTACGTGGGTTTTGCTGGCTCTGCCTCATGGTGAAGTACTTTCATCCATTCCATTTCTTTGAGAGTTTTTTTCAGAGTGAACTTCTTTCTGTCCCCATCTGCTACCACAACCTCCTTCCCAAGTGGAAAGATTGGCTTTTCCACCGGGCTACGAAGCCCCTCTTAAAAAATGGAAGGGACAAAGAGCCTGTATAGGTAGAAATAGTCTTTGGTGTTTGCACTGTGCAGTTTTTTACCTGTTGTGGGTTTTGGTTGGTTTTTTTTTTTCTTTGTAAAAAACCTTTAGGTGAGTTTGTTTTGGAAATGGAAGCTAAATTTAATTTGAAGAGAAGTTTTTCCTTCATTGTCAAGAAACTGGCAGCAAGTTCAAATTTCAGCTAGAATGTACTAGATTATGGTTTTGAACTTGACTGAATGTGGAATTTCATTTGAAACAGCTATGATTCTTAACATGCTAGTGCCTACTAACAAATTCATCCTAGTCAATGACTGCCAAGAGGAGTGGATGGGACACTTTAAAGTACCATCAGAAAAAAACCCAAAACGTTGCTCCCAAGTGATGCTTGGTGACTCCAAAAGTGTTTTTCTGAGAAGACAATAAGGTAGTTTTCATAGTGAGGCAGAACTAAGCAGCAGGGAGGGGCTGGGTAGGGACTACTGTAAGACTGTAGTAAAGCTGTGGTGCAGGTTAATAGCTTTAAATTCTGTTTTTGTCTGTGTTGATTGTGAACTATTAGTCAGTGTCAGACATATACGTATAATGAATCTATGCTACTTTATTTGAAGAATACTTGAAAATATATCATCATTGTCAACATCATTTGTATTTTAAGAGTTGTCTTAATTAATGCTGTTTGACAGGCTGGATGAAAGATGTCAGGAAAACCTCCAAAAACATCAAAATAGGTGAGCCTCTGTTTTGTGTTTATTTGCTGGCTTTCTTACCTTCTTTAACTGCTAGCAGAGCAAAGGAAGGCTTTGTTCCAGGTGTGTATAGGAGAAAGGGAGGTTACCTTAGCACAGTCTGAGAAGAAAAATAAAAGCAACTAACTACAGATAGTTAGGTAGCTGAAGTGTTGACCTTCTTGGTGCCTTAATGTTTTGCCTTAACCTCTTGTCTCTGGATAAGTCTTGGTTCACAGGGTCCTCACTGGAGGGATACTTAGTAATAACATTGTATGCCTCCCCCCGGGGAAAGCAGTCTTCAAACTTGTTGCTCAGGGTTCTGTGTAGTTAAAAAGAAAAAAAAAAATCAAAATCTGAATCAATCAGACTTTCCTGCATGGTAGTAGAAAAGTCCTGCTTCGTCTATTCTCCTCTTGAAACTGGGAATTCATGGGATGTGCTACAGTGTGTGTATTTAGGGAAAATAGCAAACATCACTATAGAGATTCTACTGTGCCAGACTTCTTACATTTGTCTACAACAAGAATTCTGTGGAAATGTGAAACACTTGTTGATTCAGAAGGGAGTATGAAGTTTGAAATGCATTAGAAAAATTGAATGCTCAGTCAGATATTTTAAAGTACTTCAGCTGCCAGAGTACAAAGCCTTTGAAATCTCTCTATACCCTTCTAAAATACTGGTTTACGTCCTTGGTAGGTAGAAAGGGCTTAGACATAGCTCCGTAAGAGTTGTTGGCTTTTCCAGTGGGCATAACTTTTGACTCTTCCAACAACAATTTTCCTGACTGTCTAAGTTTTTAATGTTTTGTGTTTTTAGAAAAAGAAATTATATGAGCTCAAGTGCCTACTTTTCCCAGAATTAAAAATTTGCCATAGGGCCTTGAGATGAGTAGAAGAGTGAAGTTATACAGGGTTGAGTACAAAAGAGTAAATTAGAGGTGAACTTTTTTACCTCGTTATTGTGGTAGAAGAGATATACAACTTACAGATTGCTGTCTAATATTGGTGCTTTACTTGGGGCCCTAAGTGGTAGTTCAATTAAGGTAGTTCAATCAAGTGAAGGTATCTTTTCTTAAAACTTGCATAAGTGTCACCTTTAACTAAACTTAAAATGAAGAAGAATGTCAATTTATCTGTGCTGCTGAAGCTGGTCAGAGTGAAAGAGCAATAATCTTAGTCATGGGATGTGATGTTTACTGGTATCTCTGCTTCTATCTGCTGTATTCTGGTTCTGCATAATTTTTCCAGTGTATTTAATAAATTCTTCATTTTCACTACTGATTGATGGCTTTACTTGATAGTGCCTCGGATTTTGTTTGATGGCTGGACTTATCAGGACTTTGAGAGTGTTTTTGGCAGTGAAGATGAGATAGAGGAGCTTTCCAAGAACATGGTTCTGCTAGCCAAGGTGAAAAGACTTTTTATGATACTTATAAAATAGTGTGTGATGATATTTGATTCCTTTTGTAATGGATGTTTTCTCGTTTCTAGTGATTTTATATTCTACAAAACAAAATTCTGCTCAAAACAATAATAAGGTGGGATTCTTAATAGTGTGTTCTAGTATGTGTCCAGTTCCTGTAAATATGAAGTGTAGCATGTTTAAGTGCAGTTAAGTACAAGTCTAACATGAGACTACGTAACCCTGATCAAGATAACCCCTTGTTCAGTTATTATTGACAGCTGCAACAGTGACCTTTGCCTGCTATAAATTGCCTTCTTTTACATTTCTATTAAAAATGTAATTATTAAGCAGGGGCTAAACTGCTTAGTGGCATTTTCTGATAGCAGAAAAAGGATCATGGGTGCAATGAATGCTGTTTTTCTGTACAGGAGTGCACTCAAGCCCAGTGGCTAAGGAGGCACTTTTAATACCAAGAATAACTCCCTGGATGTCTGTTATTGAACAGTTTTGCTCAGGTCTGATAAACCAGTTTCCTCAAAATATCAAGAGGGTGGGGAGAGGAGGATGAATTCTTTAAGGGAATGGTTACTGTTTGCTAAGGTTTTCTTACCTAATGGCTTTAGAGCTATGCATGTGTAGGACTAGGCTAGTTGCACCCAAAAGACATTCAGCTTTGGTGCTTGATTCATGACAGCCTTCCTAATTAGTGTCAGAATAAGATTTCTCACTTGCTACATGATGTAAAGAAATCTTACTGTGCTGTGAGGAAGATGAATGTAGAGCTAAACTGAGTAGTTTCTTAAAATTTGTAACCAGTACATCAATTTTAGGTTCTCAATAACAGTTGACTTCTTAACGAGGTCAAGTCAAGTACAATAGTATCCTTGATCATGCTTAGCATAAATTATCACCAGTGAGATTAACTGTGGGAAATATTTGGAATCATGTCTATGCCGAATTAGCATTTACATCTTTAGGCTTAAGAGCTAATGAGGGTTTTTCACCAATATACAAGTAAATGTGCGTCAAATGATTTGCTTAACAACCAATTGTTTCATTAATGCCTGAATTTTCTCAGTCCAATTTTGGTTTATTCTGTAAGAGTAGAACTCACAGATAACTAATAGAGATTTTCAACTTTTGCATGTTTGTTAAATAATTTGTGCTTCTCTTGGACTTCTTCATGAAGTTAAAGGTGAAGCTGGTATAAGAATACAAAACATGTTCAATCTGTTAATAATATAAGAAAAACTACAGAACTGTGCTTTGATAGTGTATTATCATCTCTGATAGAAACATAATGAAAAGCATGGTTATTAACTGTATATTGTTGTCAAATCTCTTTATTTAGAATGAAAATTTTGATGGTTTTGTAGTTGAAGTTTGGAGTCAGCTGGGAAATCAAAAGCAAACGTGAGTATGAGTCTCTAGGATGCAATTCCTAAAAATCTTTCAAAGCATCTTTTTAATTTGTCCATGTTGAATTGAATTTATCTTTATAAATAAATACACTTCATTCTAGAACAACTAAAGGTTCTTCTGCTTATCTTAGAAAGAAACAGAAGAGTTCACTCTATATGAACTTAAGGATTACATAATAAACTTCATAATGGATTTAGCAGCCCACATTAGCCTTTCATGTTTGAGTTTTGCATGATGTTACTGTTGTACCGGGGTGAAGAGGGTGCCTCAGTTGCACAGGCACATGTTTCCACTGGCCTTATCGTACCATTGACTGGTTTGGGTTACTGGGTGAAGCTTGGAAGTGTGCGGTGCTTTGATAGGAAACCTTCCAGACCTTTACAGAGATCTTTTAGACATCTTGAAGCTAAAAACAAAATCCCCAACCTGAAGTAAATGTAGGGAGAAACCGCTTCCAGTTCCTCCAAGCACAGTGTATTTTAAACTTTGGAGTAGTTGATCTACCTTTTGGTAGCTCTGCTATGAAGTTTCAGTGAGTCTGCATTTATTGTATCTGCTAAAACTAGAGGGCTTATGTATATTAAACTGTTTCCTGACATATTCTAATCTGTTTTGCTTGAGCAAAAGCCCCTTGACTGTTTTAACAACTTGAACAGAGTCAAGGTAAGGCAAGCTACATACTTCTGCTTTGTGAGGAAAAGGCAGAATATGAAATGAATGATTCGGTGCAGCAATCTGAAGATTTTGTGTTAGTTTCTGAGGAAATTCAGGCATCCATTTCCCTAAAGCACAGTATTTTTACCAGATCTCTCTTGCCTAAATGTCAGGGGGAATGCAGCTTAAAGATAGCTGCACAGAATGCAGACTTCATTGTGGAAGATTTCACCTTTCAAATATGGTTACTTTGTTATCCTGTTTAGGGCAAATGTTGCTGACTGAGGGCATATAAATTACTTCTCTAACTGAGTGTTGTTAACAGTCCTACCTTACACTTGGGAACAAAAAATTGGAACTGCAGAATCTTTGTAGCTTTGTCGGGCCTCTGCCAGTTGCACTAGAATGAGTAATCCTTAAGCTAGATGCTCTTGCTCATAATTAGGTAATTTGCCAGGTTGTTCCTAAGAGTTGATCCCTATAATGAGCTCTGAACCTATTGCAGTGTCTTAATAAGACAGACAAGAAGGTGATTTAAGCAATTAGTAACTGCCAGCCAGAAGCTGGGAGCAGTGGGCATTTTATCTACTGTGCTTACCTGTATTTCAGTAAAATTGATGCTTTTCCTGTTAGTTAACTTAACACAGATGTAAGACAGACTATGTAACTGTGATTTTAAGACTCACTGAAGATCAATTTAAGCACAGTGGTATGAAAGTGCTGTATTGCAAATGACATACAGAAGCAAAACATACTTTTCTATTAGCTCCAGGATGAGTTTATTTGTGGCATGGTAAAAATGTTGCTCTCTGCCAAGAGTAATGCTTATCTAAAACAGTGTTGTTTGTCCCACCTTGTGTGATAAAAACTGTACTAGAGGAGGTGCTACTGTTGAGTTGCTTTAGCCTTCAGTACCTGAGTGTTATTCAGGTAAAGCACCACTTACCTATTCACTGTCTATCTGTTATTGATAGGAAGGATTGGGAAGTATTTTCCATAACTTCAGAGAAGGATAGGGTTATTCTCATACAGTAGAATGGTAACTGCATCCTTTACTCTGAGGCAGTAATGTGGCCACCTGTGAACAACACTTTAGAATTATCCTAACATAAAATGGGTAAGATTGTTTGGCACAAAAACATAAATAGAAACAGAAGCTAGGAATTGCAAATTTTCCTCCATTTCAAGACCAGTCTTGATTTAAATGATTCACTGTAAACTCCTCTGTGGGTTTTTCCTCCCTTTATTTCCACTTTCCTAGAAATGGTTAGAGTGTTTAAGTTGCACAATGCCTTCGGTTGGGCTTACCTCCTCAGAGAGGCATTCTGAATAAGGCTAACGTAGACAGAAAGCTGAAGGTAGGCTCCTGTGTGCAGTAGCAGCTGTTTTGTAAAAGTAGGAGAATCACATCATTACATGGAAATTTTGTCTCATGATTCTTCTAAGTTATGGGACCAGTGTCTTCATTTTGAGGTTGTCTGTTTGCCTGTCACTTGCTTTAAAACTGGATGGCCCAGGCGTTTTTCCCTATCAATGTTGTTTGGAGTGAACAGCTGCTTTGAGCAGATCTTAAGGGACAGAATTAAGTGAACTTAGCACCTTGGCAAGCCTGTATTTTTATTGCACATTGAGTGCTGTTACTTTGGGATCTGTTAATTTTCTTTTGAGTAGCAGAGCAGAATTATTTCTGATAAACGGGTAAGCATGGATGGTCTTTTGCTTCCATTGTCACTGTCGAAAGAGTTGCAGCAGCCCAATGCCCCCTTCAGCCCACAGAGTGGCAGTATTGTAACGTGAGTCACGCCTGATCTTCCTTCAGGTTGTGTCTCCAAAGTGACAAACATCAACAGTAAAGCACGTTCTTAAGCTTGGAAGGCTGGGAGTTAGTTGACAGGTAGGTGTCAGCGCAGAGATAAAGCCTAATCCTTTGGAAATGTGAAGTGTTCATAGAAAAGTATTTGTGTATGCTCCAAATAAAGCATCTGTCTTAGCTGTTAGGTACAGTGTAGGCTTTCATGATTCAGATCCTTCAGGGTCAAACACCTGAAAGTAGCTTAACCTACTTCTGGGTAAAGGCAAACAGATAGTTTGCCTTCAAATTACTTTCAGAGCAGTCTGACAATATAAGAAGACCTTCCTGGCTAATACAGTTTATTCATATTATTTAAAGTGAACATGTTTTAGCTTAAAAATAAAAGAAAAAATTAGATTTTTTTCCCCTGAAATACAAGGAATAGTCTCACATAAGCAAGTGGCAATAAGTTATTGAAACTCAACGCAGGTGCATAAAATAGATGGGGATATGCTGCAGCTTCCAGCTTGCCTTAGAAAATGTTAGAGCCATAGTGTGGATCTAAGGGAAAATATTTCACAGGGAATCATTATGGTGTTCATTTTTCAAAACCTAAAGTAAGTGGATATCTAGCTATAAAATTAATAAAATGGCACTCAATATATTTCATATATCTTTTTGAAGGGAAAGCTATGGAAATTATTCCTGTCATGTTTTTAATAGTGTTATGGAGAAGGTCTATGATCCTGTCCAATGCACTGCCTTAGTGGTGCAGGAACATTTAATATAGTGCAAGTTTCTTTATACCTGTCTGTATCTTTAAAATTACTGGAGAGGTGGGTTTGTTCATGGAACTTTTGTGCCTGGTAAGGTGTTTCAGCTCCTGAATGAGTATCCACTCATGTGACAATGTGCAGTGAGACTTTTTAGCACAGTGCATCTCAAAGCAGGTGAGTCTGCAAAAGAAACTGAAAACCTAAAAATTAGTGTTCTAACTCACTAATAAATTGGGTTATGATTTAAATACTACTTCATATATCAGAAAGGTGGATTAATTGAAGCTGAAGCTCTCTGCTCAATTGACCTCAGTTGAGCAAGTGTCTCCATGAGATACCTTTTTCAGTAGCTGAACCTGAATATTGGATGGACATCATCATAACACATGCTCTCCCTGTTGTCTTGATGTTGGGGCTTGAAACACTGAATTCCCTAAAGACTTTGTGACAATTAAATTCTGTCAGTATCTTCATGTAACAAGGTAACAGTGTTAGCTCTTCTGTAACACATAAATCCTATGACCAGTCTCCTTAAGAACCTGTGATCGCTGAGAATTTTTAAAATGAGGTAAATTTAGACACTCCTCTGTCAGCCCTTTGCATGTTTCTAGAAAACCTTTATTTTTTTGGATACTCACTTCAGCTTTATAAATGAGTGAAAATTATTCCTTCAAGGCCTGATGAATTATCTAAAAAGGGCCTTCAGTTTCCTATTTATTCTAGCTGGCATTAGAGGTAAGGTGAAACGTTGCTAAGAAGTTATGTTGCTGGCATCCACTAAGACATGAAATTCTGTGGTTTCAGTCTCACTATGAATCTTCTGGTTTATGTCTTCTTAATCAGAACTAACTTAATCTGGTTTGGTTTATTTTCAAGAACAAAAAATTTTCCAATCGTTCTGATTTGGTCTTAGGAATTGTTCTGTAGTGTGTGACAGACTAATGTCTTAAATTATATCAATCTTTTGTGCTGCTTTATTTTGCATATTCATTTAAATGTTGATTTTACCAACAGTATCAATTTTTATAAGAGAATTATATGCCTAAATATAGCTGCCTGGTTTCATGTGAGATACCCTAAGCAGCCTGCTCTCTGGCTGTTCATGCAGGGTCCTCGATGCCTGGAGTCTTACACAACAACCCTGTATGCATGCTTTTTGTACTTTCAGATGTGTAAAATGGCATTGGGTTCTTCTGTTTAGGTTCTTAGATTTAGAAATACCCACTGTCTATCTGAAGAACCTAAATTGTCTTGATATATGTGTGTGAACCTGTTCTGGGGTCTTTATACTGACTGGTTTGGGTTCCTGTAGGCATCTAATACAGATACTTTGAAGTACCCTCTATAGCACTGGTGCCTGCTTCTTCTCTATGATTTCTGGGTCTAAAACTATTAATATACAAATCACAGGGACATCAAGTTTATTGTGAGATGAAGGATTGCATCTAACTGATGCTGCTTCCTGTCATGCCAACAATCGTTGCACAGTGAAAAAGTATTGAGCTACCTGCCTCTTACTCTAACATATAGGAGATTGATTTCCTTATAAAAATCTAAATGAGCCAAGATATCCTATGCAGATACCTCAATTCCAATGTGTTTTGCTGCTTCTTATAGCTTAAACCTGCATTTTAGTTAAATAACTGTCTTTTTTTCTAAAACTTTCTTGCCTGATTTTCCAATAAAATATTCCAAGTTATTCATCCTGTGGCATTTAATTTTAGAAATGTACATGGCAAAAATATTGAGAGACCTGAGTAAGCAAAGGCTCTCCTGCTTATTTAGTTAATAACTGGACCAGGACCATGTCTAACTTGCTAATCTCATTGTGGGTTTGCTGGATGTTTTTTTTTCTCCAGACCTGGGTTGTGAAAAAGGCATGAATGTACTCATCAGAATCTCACAGGCTACATAAAAATGCACACAATATTCTGATCAGTCCAGCTTTAGTTGACAGATGGCACTGCCATCACATGGAATCAATCTGAAAAACGTGATTTTTTGTCACCACATGCTGCAGGCACTTGGTATCATGCAGAAGATGACCTTCAGACATCTTATTGACGTTGGTAGGAATATAAGGGGAAAAAACTCTTCTGGCAATTGTATCCTTCATGTTAGTCCCTGAAAAGTTAATCTATTAATCAAAGATTTACCATCATTCACTCCAGTTTCTTGGTATTAACTAGGCAATGAAATGGCAGGAAAGGGCGTTTTCTTCTTCGACTGGACAGCTTTATTTTGTCCAATTTTCTTGACAAGGCATAAATTTTAGGGAGTACTGACTACCAGCTTGTGCAAAAAGGTGACTGAAATTGGAAAGTTGCAGAGTTCTGAAGGGCCATGTAACTGAAGGGAAGGATATAACAGCCTTACATGTCTTCTGCAAAGCTTTTCAAATGCATCTACAGCCCATTCTTGTGCACTGAAGCAAACTGTACTACAAGATGTCCAAAACACGATACACCAGCAATTCTCAAAAAAGTGATTTCTGTAAAAATAAGCTTCCCATGAACTTTGGGTGATGAAAATTCAGAGATCTGCATACTCTATAGGGGAGAAGGTACTTTGAAATCATGAACACTTGGAAAATTGACCTACTAAATGGTAGTGATAAGAGAAGGCCTAAAATAGTAGGAATGAAGTAGACCTTAATTAGCTCAAGATAGAAACTTAAAGCTGCCAATATTTTAGTACCTGCTTTGAAGTTAAACTTGGCTATGGTGAAGTCTCTGGTAAATATTTAATGAAGCTTTTTTAGGAAGATTGATTCTATTCCTACTTTCCTGTACCTCATTAGAATGTTTAAAATGTCAGTAGCTTTTCTTTCGAAGTTACCAATGGTAACATTGGAGAACGTTGTGTTTAAACCACTGGAAAGCACTGTTGGGACACAGTAAAGTTTTAATTTATAGCACAGTAAATGAACATTCTTCTATTGCTCTTTGGGGGAGAGGGGAAGCCTGCACATTTTATTTACGTAGTTTGTCTTGGCCGACACATGGAAGTGAGCCTAAATTAAGTCTTTAACTATTAATCCTGCCTGATTTGCTAAAAAGGTTTCAGGGCCCAGAGACATGCCTTGACAGGGTAGTGAGTGGATATTAATCTGGGTTTCTTGAGCAAAAATCTAAAGTTGTCCAGCTACCCCTTTTCTTTTTGCTTTCCACAAGTTGAAGGTAATTATTTTTTAGCCAGATCGATACTGCTTGAACTTAGTGGTGGGAGGAGAGGAAGTGGCTGTTTCAGTGTAGTCTGTCTTAGAGTCCCGAGTGCACCAACAATCCAGACTACACTCCTGCCTTGTTATCAGGCCACAAATCTCTGTCCTGTGTTTACAGTTACAGGTTATGGTTCTACACTGTATGTTTTTCCACTTTCGAAATATGACTGCTTTTGTGTAGTAACTGTTCTCGTGGGTATGTCATGGCCTTTGTGGATCAGTTTTTTCTTCTGCTGGCCAACCACCAGTGTCTGACATTGCTGAGGAAGGCTGAAACCTTGAAATTAATATTCCTTTGAATTTCTGTTTTTCTTTGCATCTGGTTCAAAATAATCCCAACTGCTTTTCTTCTTATGCTTCAAAGCATTGCTATCTGGAATGCAAAATTTTAGGAGCTGAGGCAGATATGTGAAGATGCAGAATGGGAGTGAGGGTATTAGCCTTGTTTCTGAATGGAAAAGAAAAATATGTTATCTTGTTCTCTACCTGTGCTAGGTTCTTTTGTCCTATTCTGCCCTTCCTCTTATCCCCTCATCTTCTAAATAATTAAAGTCAGCAAATGTTTTGCATGGTGTAGAGTTCTGTAAGTTCCTACAGCTAACAAAGGCAGCCAGGCAGAGAAGAGAGATCTCTGCTGATGAACACTGTAGAATAATCTCAGTGCCAGAGGAACTGATTCTTTGGTCAAATTTATCTTGTATTTAGCACCTCTGACATCTAATAAAGGTTGCACTCCTACTGTAGATTGGGCATAATTAGTTAAAAAGGTCACTAAGCCATGAGACTCAAATCAGCAGGAAAGCTTACTTGGCTAGTTTTACTACTGATTATAGTTTTTGATAACATTGTGTCATGTGGGAGTTGTGATGCATGTGTTGGTGTCCATAGATGTCTGTTTAGTTTAGTGTTGTAATTTTTTAATGTGTTCCTGTGGAAAAGGATTCTTGTATGCTGTAATTGTTTTGTCTGAATAGTGACACTCTTAATGTGGAATGCATGTGATAAAGTAAGAGGAGGGAAAGCTGTTACTTTCCCGGAGAAAGAATGGTAGAAGTGCATTTTGCAGACAGACCAAAAGCTGATTTTTGTAATCTCATGTCTTCCCCTAGAAGAGAAATATAGGTAGCAGTGTGACAGTTTATTGTTAAGGGCTGTTCAGCACAGGCAGCTCTCAAATTGTAAACACAAAATACTGCTGGTATTGGGAAAGGGATAAAACTTGCTTTGTTTGTTCACCAGCATTTTGAGAGTAATGGCTTTTATAGGCCTTAGGAAGTTTTCATCAGGCATCAAACCATTTCAGGGAAAATTAAAATACTGAGTTACCTTTGGATAGTGCCTACAATTGTGCAAGTTAAGCATAATTACTGTGACGGATGATTATATTGGAAGAGCAATGATTTCAGAAGAATATCTCTGGGGTGATACTACCTTGAAAGGTGCAACAATACCAAGATGTTTTTCATGAAAGTTCAGATCTTATTTGGTTTAAGTGGAACGAAAATCTTGGTTGAATTGCTTTTGTGTATTCTGCCTTTCCTGCTTAAGCACTTTTAGCTTTCTGGAATGGGTCATGAAGTTGTTCTCTATTCTGTTCAGGCTTAAGCATAGTTCTAAACAGATCTAGAGTTTTGTACTGATATCATCTGTCTGACTGTTTGTGAATCCCTCCAACCAGTGAGTAAATACGAAAGTTTACTTTGTTCTGAAAAATCAAATTACTCAAGAAAGACACTCAAAAGGGCCATATTCGTAGTGCAAATTTAAGGTAATACTGGATTCTTCTTAAGATAACAATAAACTTTTTTTTATTTCTGCAGTCTGTCTCTGAAGGGTTTTCTATTAACATCACCCTTCAAATCAGGAGTGCTAAAAACAGTTTGCATAAGAATTTTTAGGTTTATTTTCCTATTGAAATGTCTAGAATATGGATATGAAAATCAACTTTTGTGGAAATCTTTATTTAACTGATGCATATGAAAGGTGATACTTCCAGATACAACACTGTCAGCCATGCATTTTGTAGATATACAGTAATGTATTGAAAAACAAAAAGAAAATTTATACAGAAAAAAATGTTTCTAAACACGGGCCTCAGAAATATCCCTTGAAGATTGCGTGTTTTGCTGTGAAAGCATCTTTGAAAATTCTCAGGCCTTATGTATGGTAACAACTTGAATCTCTTCAACAGCTGTTTCTTCAGAGCAGTGTTTGGTTCTTCTATTGATCTAATTCTTTTACTGAATATTACCTTAAGAGATTACATGATCTGATAAGGTATGCTGGTTTGTTTTACGTGGTAACAGTGCATAGTTAGATTAAAGTAAAACTAGGAAAAATTTTAGCCCCAAGGTGATCACCAGTTCCAAGAAAACTAAGACTGTCTCAGGCAGTTCAATGTTCTTAGTTCTTGAAGGTGGTAGACCTCTGATTAGTCTTCCTAATTGTTGTTTTTTCTGCTATGGTCGTTTGCAACAAATTGTGTTTGGCTCTCTTGCCAGTGAATCTTTTCAATTATTTCTACTGTTACTTGCTCTTGACAATATACAGCACCAGTTTTCCTGCCTTTCTGTCTAACAATCTATTTGTATTTCAGGGAGTTGATTCACTTGCTCATTCACCTTTCTGAAGCTCTGCATGAAGCACAACTTAAACTCATACTGGTCATCCCTCCTGCAGTTGCAGCAGGGTGAGTATTGCTATTTAGATGGTAGGTTCCAAATGATAAACAGTAAGTTCAAAGCTGTGTTTATAGCTATGCAGTTTAAATGAATAAGAAATTATTTGGGTTTGATTGGTAGTTCTGTCTCCATGCACATTGCACTGAATAGTCTTGGTACCTATGTGCATTCATGCATACCATTCGTGCAACTTTGGATGTGATAGAGGAGTCAACAAGGAGAGGTGCTGTGCTGGACCTTGTTCTCACCCACACTCCAGGTGGGGTCTCATGAGAGCAGAGTAGAGGGGCAGAATCACCTCCCTCAACCTGCTGGCCACACTTCTCTTGATGTAGCCCAGGACATGGATGGATTTCTGGGCTGCAAGTGCACAGTTGACCACCAATTGCATAGTTGGCAAAACAAGATTATTTTTTTCCTTTAAGCTGTTCAGCAACTTTATACCTGCACATGAAAACTCAGTAATGTAAGTCAAACTTAAATAGAGAAGCACTGTTAGGTATTTTTTTCAAATGAAACTTGGTAGACAGCTAAAGAAAAAAAATATAACAATTTCTTATTTTTCTCACCTTGGGCTGTATAGCAGTACAGATAGGTTTACAGCCAATACAGATTATGACAGTTTAACAGCACAGTTTCAGGACAGCGTTGTACAGCCTCCTAAATTTCTTGTAGGCTGTCACATCTTTCAGTGTACATTAATTTTCGAGGTGCCAAAAAAGCTGAGAAAATTGAATGCCTGAGCAGTCTGGTAAATGTCGCTTCTGTGGCTGGACTGTTCTCTGTAATGGTCTTGAGTTATTGTTGAGTTTTGTGGGGAGGTCCTATAGCACATGGGGGAAATGAAGCATTTCTCCCTACAGTTATCTGTGCAGACTCAAATGCATCTTGCTGAAAAGATTTAGGGACACTGTAGTAGGTGACTAAAAAGTTATCTGTGTGCTGAGATCAGTTAGCACCTGCACTACAACTATGACATCACCTCTTCTGTAGGTTAACAATGTAAACCAATTACTGAATGTAAGTACTTCCTACCATCTTAAGACTGTAAGGCCAGAGTAGTAGCTACGTGTAATTTTGTTCTTCAATAGCTGCATGGAATCTGATTGCAGTTTTATTTTCTGTAAAACTATGTACTTGGGGATGTTTTTTGTTTCCTTATGTTTTCCTCTGTTGCATGGTATAACCGATTTATATCCTTAAAATGAAGTAGCTTGTTTGATGCAAAGTCACTTTGCTTCTGTGTGCGGCTGACCACCAAATTTTGATAGGCAGAGAGTTCAATGTGTTGAAAACTATGGGAAAAGAAGGCAAAATTAATTCCATGTACATTGATAAAGTAGACAATTCTGTAAAATAATACTTGTGCAGAGCCCTTTTCTTTAGGGAGTGAAGGCCTAGTTGCATTTTGAGGAGGTTCCTTCCTATCCCTCAAGCACTTCTGCTTTTACCTTGGTTCTGGATCATTAATCCTCTCATTTCTTGCAGTTTTCTCTGGAAAACTGTGGGCTGGTATGCCTTTGCGTCGCATGGATTTTCAGTGGTGCTAACAAATACTTCGGGTTTCTTGTGATTTGGTTAAGTCAAAAATAATGAGAAACTACTATGTCTTCTCTCCTGTCTGTCATTTATTCCAGTCTTTCATGCTGCCCTCTGATCTACATTTAATCTCAATTGATAGTTACTTTTTAAAGTAATTTTCTGTTGCATTAATTGTAGTCTGTTACAGATAAAGCAAAGGAGAACACTTTAAAACATTTTTCTAAAGTGCTTTATCAGTCACTGCATCACACAGATGCTTTTTAAAATGCTAATGCTCTGGTAGAATTTAAGTAATTGCTGTAAACAGTGTTCTACATTTGAAGAGCATTTGTTCTTATGGTGTTAGGGAGAAAATGGAGAATAGTGAAAACCTCAATATTCCTGTTCATCGTGATGCCTATTGACATTACCAAGTTCAGTCTTTTAGCTGGAGGAACCTAAATCTGTTTTGTTTATTTAAGTCCCTCTACGGTCTATTTTTTCTAAATCCCTAAACAAGAGTTGAAGTCACTATAGGACCTCTGGATTCTTAAACAAGTTTTGCCTGGACCAGAATTTGCATTGTTATGGTAACTGTAACTTTTGGGACTATTTCTCTGTTGAACACCACACTGAGATTTGGATCTTTGTTGTCATTACTGCCTCCTGCTGTCCTGCATATCAACATAATAGTGAGGTCACAGTTCTGAAACATTTCTGAACTGGGCTTTAGGGATGCCCTATTACAGCTTGGAAGAGCTGTCTATCTAAAGTGCAAGTTTTAACCTGAAATGAGTTTTATATGCCTATCCCTAAATGGCCTGTTTGTAGAGGAGTACTGAAGTGTTTCTGGTTTTCAGCTGTGGGAAATAACAACTGTAGTTTATATGAAGGAAAGTCTAATTCCTCTAAACCAATTATATTGTTTCTTTATGCATTCCTAAAGTTTGTAGGATTTATCCGTAAACTTTTATTGCCCAGGAGAATACATTAGTGACATTCTTTTCAATCAATAATCTTACATGAGCCACCTGTCTGTGTCTTCCATGTGTGTGTTTTTATTGCATTAACTACAAAAACCACTGTAACTTCTTGAGTAAATAGGTTGTTGAAAATATATTCAGAAGTTACAGAAACATCCTAAAACATTCACGATGTCCATGCATACTTTAAAGCTTAAAGTACGTTGGGTTTAATGATGTCAAATATCAGAATCTTGACATTTTCTTTCTACCTTACTTGACTTTTTAAATAGCATCTGTACTTGAAGATTTTTGATTCATAGGATACAGGGCTTGAACTGAAAAGTGCTTCCTATTGTGTATTGAATATCTTGAAATTCAGTTTGGGTTTTAACACTTACACGTGGTTGAAAGTGTGTTTTAATGCATTTTATATTCTTTATTTGTTGGAATCACTGTAGACTGTTAATCAAAAATACAGCAAAAGATATGGAAATAAGTACCATCAAGAATCAAATAATATATTGGAGTTCAGCAGCTGGCAATAGACTGATAAAGGAGACATGAGCTGTATGTGGAATACCCTAACCAACTGAGATGCTAGGGGCTGAAACATTGTTCCTTTTGTGTTCTACCCTGATTAAAATTTAAAGAGAGAGCATAGTCAAATGTAAGCAGTTTATTTAGGAATTTGTAATTTAGGCTCCTTTGATATGCATTAAGATCAAAGCAGTCTGTCAGCAAATGCTATCTGAAAGGAGATGCTTTTAAGAGCTAAAAATACTAGTTTGCTTAGGGAAAAGCAGTCTGGAAAATGCAGCATTGCACGTGAGATTGAGTGTGTGATGCAGGAAGGAAACATGTTGGGTCCTCTGTTTAACTTCTCAAAAGCAACTTTTTCAAACAAAACCCAAGTGAAGACTGATCCTCCAGCTGGAGCTTGCTTTGGTAACTAAAGCTTCCGGTGACACCTTTGATTTTTGGTTTGCTTGTGAAATGTCCTGGGCTAAAAGAAAACTTCATTCCCTTTTTTTTTTTTTAAATCCAGACATTTTAGAGCTTTTCACAACATTAACCAGAGGCAGTTGTGCTGGCATAATCAAGAGTTGGGAGTGTGTGTGGAGGGTGATTAGGAGGCAGGAATCTCTCCAGCAAGTTTTACTGTCACAGAGAATGCATGTAGAGCTCCCATGGTGGCAAACAGAGATTGAGATAGTATTTCCATCCACCTGATGTCCAGGAATTGCATGATTTTCCTGCAAACATAAGTGATCTACAAGAGAGAGGAAGAGCAGGAGCCAAAGCTATGCTCTGCAAAGTGTGTGTGTTATACTGTAACTCTTCCTTGGGATTGGAGACTTGGAGTTGCAAATGTCTGAAGAGAGGTGCTAGGATTGCAGTGGTGTGTTAAGTGGTTGCTAGAGCAGATGGGTTGCTGAAGACTTCCAACCTGTCTTTCAACAGATTGTCTCAAAATGTTAGAATTTTACTGCTTTTAACATGCATGGGTATTGATGCATGTATAAACTATGAGTATCATTTCTAAAAGGGCAATGGGTAGCCAGGCATTTTCTGCCCATTGGTGATGTTGAGTAACTTCATTTGTCCTACTAATCCTGGGCTTGATTAAATTCCTGCCTTAAATATATGCACTTCAGTGATTTATTGAGCTGTAGTAATTATACTGGTGAAAGCTGTGTGGATGTTTTTATACTGATTTCACAAGCCTCTTTCCAAATAGGTTAGCTGTGCTTGAGTGAACTGTCTTTATGCCTAAATATGCATATGCATGTATATGTTGGGGGAAAAAAATAAATATGTCAAATGGGCCTTGAAGTTTGGTTCCACCTGTTTTCTTAAATCACAGGGACTGAGTTGGTTATTTTGTTTCTCTTTGCTTACATTCTTTATTATATTAGGGATGCATTTTCAAAGGCAAAAAGTGAGACTTTGAATTTGTATAGTAACTCTTTTCTGTCTGCAAGTAAGTTGAATTTCATCTGACTAGATTATTGCTTATTTTGTCCAGGTTCAGTAACCATTTTATCCATTGTGGTTCCCACTTACTGTGAATAAAACAATGAGTGAAGGAAATTAAGATTATTTATATAAACTATCACCAGAAAGAGCATCAGTAATACTCCTGTTTCTTGTTGCTCTGAGAAGGAGCAAAGGCAGACAAAATGCTCTCGAGAGCTGTTGGTAGGATGTTGTTTTCACGGGGATTTTCGATGTATCCGTGGATGCATAATCATGGCCTTTCTGGCCATTTGTAGTTTATTACAATCTTTGGACATATGATATCAATATGTTAAGGCTCACCTTGGTGTACACTGTCATTAAAAGCTGTTACTTTTGCTAAACACAGTGTTAAATAACTCTGTATTTACAGACGGGTTGTTAGTAGTCACTTTCCTTTGGCTTTTATTGTTCCCTGAAGTATAATCCTTTGCACAAAGTAACAATAAAAATGACATTGGTTGTACCACTTCATAATATAATACTGTGCAAAATTTACATTTTGA